GATGACAATGGACAATGACATATCAATATGCTTTGCTACTTATACAACTTATGAAAAAAATGCGTAATCTAAATCTAAAGAATTTTTCTGAACTAACAATTGTAATATTTTAGATTAAGATATCATCATGGTATCACAATGGAAGACTTTCGTCGCACTGCAAACAGAACTGCAAAAATACAACAATTAAGAGTATCATCTGAAATCATGTTCCAACAAATTAAAACTCGGCTGATATGATTTTCCAAGATCTTCTTCCATAAGAATTACATATGACAATCCTATGGAATGGACCAACATGGATGTTGCAAGACTATATGCAATGGTCTTAAACAGATTCCTACATCGAAGAACGGAGGAAAGACAATACAATCACATTTTTCCGGTATTTGAAGATAAGGAAATAGAACTTTTTTTAAAATTTTTATTCTAGTTGACTACTTCACCATTGAAAACATAAGGAAAATCTATTCTTATTTATCCAATGATTCGATCTCATTTACTCTCTATATACGAACTCATGTATGCACGGGAAGCATTGATCAAAATATCACAACAAACGTACTTCAAAATAAAAATTTAACTTAAAGAATAATTTAGAAATTCTTAAGAACAATATACTGCATTCGTTAAATCCATTCTTAGATATCTTTAGATTTTTTAGGGCGAGCAGTAGATTAAATAAATGCCTCGATTAAATTTATATACAAACATTCGATTATTATTCATCCAAACCATAAATTAAGATTATTTATTGTCCACGAACACTTACAGTTGTTGCATGTGGATCATCAAACTATAATTTTTTCATTGCAAATAATTTTACTACTTGTCATTTTATTCTTTTACATACACACACACACACACACATTTGTTATGTAAAAAGGATAATAAAGAGCATCATTCGAAAATGTTTAAAGTGTTTTTAAGTAAAACTTAAGGCAATAAGACAAATAATGGGTAATTATCTGCACGTTTTTTTGCTGCGGAATGGACTATGTAAGTCTATATCTAATTAAAGATGCACATTAAAGTCAACACTAAGGAATACATCTGTTTATTCGTACGTTTTGTAGCAAAGGCGGTTCATATTGAATTAGTCATTGATCTTTTCATATGCATTTCTAAAGTGCTTAAAAAGATTTATTGCACATCGAAGATTATGCCACAATATTTATTCGGACAATGAAATTAATTTTGTTGGGATACGAAATGAGTTAATTGAATTTAAAAGTCTCATTTCGAACAAGAAAAGAAATTCAAAAATCACACAATTTCTTTTAAATAAAGAAATACGATGGCATATAATCCCTCTTTGTGGCATTGTTTACCTATTATTTTATCTAAAAAAAAAAAAAAATAAATATCTTTAAAAATTCTGATATCGATAATTTTCAAATCTATAAATATTCAATTCATATTGTAAAATTTATTAGAATTATAGATCAATATTATGATCAAAATAATTCATGTGATTTGCGTATAAATTAGAAACATAAATATTTTCTGCTTAATAATTCTAAGCAATTATAGATTGAATATTTCAATTTTTTTTTTATTCCTTCTCTTTAAACATTGAGATCCTCTAAAAAAATAACTGATTCAGAAGAATTGTTAATATTGTTTGAAATAATATTATATCTAGAATAAAAAATTGATATCTAATTATGATATTAAAAATAAAAACATTTGTAGCAATTTTATTAGAAATAGATATAATTAGAAAAACAATATATTTATATTGAATTGAAAATTCAAAATTAACTCAAAAATATACTGTGATTTTGAACAGATTTCAAAGTATTTTGTATATTTTACATTAAAGTGTTCACGTATAGTAAATTTTCACTTGTTAAATAATAAAAAATATTTTCCATTGAATTATGAAAAATCTATATATCAAAAATTTAATTCTATCTAGTTAACATGCTAAAAAAATATATAAATTATAGGTATATAAAGATTTGTCTGAGAAATCTTGATAAAAAATTATTCATTTAGGTATTATACAATATTTGCCGATCATAGAAGCATCCTAAATGAGATATGAAGTTTTAAATAACATCAAATTATTGTATAATTTTTTATTATTATTGAAGTGCGAAATCAAAAATTAATAGATTGATAAAAATTAAATTTGGCTATAATATTGTGATTAATTTATCAAACATTGCTTAAATAAAAGATATATATGATACTTTTTTTACGAATACAAAATTAAATTAAATTAATTTTAAATTAAAGCTAAATTTTTATATTCTAAAAATATATATTTAATAAATATAATAAGAAGAAATAAGAAAAACAAAGAAATAAAAATTGATAAATATTGTTTTATGTAGCTATACTAAAAAAAGTTGTAGAAAACTTGTTTTATTATATTTTTATTTAAATCTCAATAAAAACTATGACAATAAATAAAACATGAAGTGATAAATAAAGATAAAAAATAAAACGATCCATCGTTCAAGCAAATAATAGTATGGATAATTGATGAATAATGATATTATGAACATATCTAAAAAACGTTATAACTTTAAATATTGGGAAAAAAATCATATTTAATATATTTGAAAAACTTAAATTTATATACAATTGTAATATATAAAGTATATGTAATAATAATAATATATATATTTAATAATAATATGTATATGTAAATATATAAGATAAAGATTAGAAAAAATAAAAAGTGGGAAAAAATATATTAGTTTTTCAGTATCATATTTCTAAAATAAAATGCAAATGGAAACAAGAAAAAAAATATCAATCATTAATAAAAAAAACAGATAAATAAAATTACTAGGACAGAATTTAAGATAATGTGTAATAAAGCCAAGGTCATTCGAAGATTTAATTTAATTTGTATATTATGTGGAAAAGAATTTTATATTAAAGATATGTGAATATCCATTTTTTAAATATTTGAGCCTTGGATCAAATAGGACAAAATTTCAAAAATTTAACCTATAATTTCAGAATTCAAATATCAATTCGAGACCCAAAATTTAATTCAGAATCAAAATTTAATTTGTGATCCGAAAATCAATTCGGAAGTTATAATTGCATTTAGAGTATGATTTTTTAAATTTTTCTTAAATTTACTTTACTTTTTAAATTTAAAAGTGTTTTCATATGTTATTACATATAATCAAATATAGAAATCTATAAAAAAAGACATAAATATGTGTGAAAATCTATGATTTGATAAATGATTATCAAATTTGTATAAATTTGGATTTGATAATATAATATTAAAAAATTTTAAGATAGAATTGGATTCATTTTTTAATATTAACGTTTTTTTTATTATTCTAAGAACTTTTGGATTATCCTTAGTTTTTATAATCTTTGTTTCTTATATTATTTAAATTTTCTGATAAATCCAATATAATCATATGATTATTACTGTTATTTATTTCAAGAAATTTTTATTTAATCTTTATTTTATTTTATCTTTATTTTAATTTATATTTTAAATATATATATTATTAATAGATTGTAATAGTTGTTTCATCAATGATTTTATTTATTCTTTAATATTTATAAATTAATATTTAATTGTTGTATTTAGAAATATACAAACAATAATATTGCATTTTACATTTACTTACTTTTATAAAATACTGTAGAATGAAACTTTTATTCCATTATTGTTCAATTTACATTTTATTATTTGTATTGTTCTTCATTGACATGATTCATAATAAAAGTTTATTTTAGATTCATAATAAAAAT